AGTAATAAATTAAGTCATTTCAGGAATATTGCACTTATAAAGAGATCATTTGATGTGATTCATAAAGCACAGACTTCCATTAAAGAGGCTTGGAATAAATTATTGGTTCACTTTTGAAATCAATTTGATTTCCATCTTAAATTTACAGTTTTTTTTTAATGTTTATATTTTAGAATTTAAAAAATATTTATATATATATATTTTAAAATCCAATAATTATATATTATATATTATCATATAAACATATACTATATAGTGATTATATTATAATGTTATATCGTAATATAATCACTATTTATATAACCTTATAATTTACCAAACTCTATGTAAATTATATAATCACTATTTTATATATATATATATATATGTATGTGTATATTATATATGTGTATGTATATACAGTGGGGAAAAAAGTATTTAGTCAGCCACCAATTGTGCAAGTTCTCCCACTTAAAAAGCAGTGTATATATATATATACATATATTTAATATATTTCCCTTGTCTAGATATCTCAGCAGCAGCAATATGCAATATCGCAGTTCAAATCTAAATCGCAATATATGATGGCAAAATCACAATATATTTTTTTAGCCAAATCCCTATATAAATCAAATTTATTCTAAAATAAAAACAATCAAAATAAAACACTTACTATAAAAGGTTAAATATTTTATCTTTTTACTTGTATATCATGTCATTAACCAACATCAGTGAACTGTGAACCTAAAATTATTGTTAAATGATTGAAATATTGACCTAAAATCTCACAAGGTGCTTCAGTACTTTACATTAGGGGTTCAGTTGACAAAAAAGTTTGGGTACCCCTTTTTTTTTTTTTTTTTAATAAAAATTTGATTGCTCATAAATCCACTCTTTTGAATGAATCCGTAGATGTCTATTATGCAGTATGAAGAACGTTCAGTTCTCTCTTCCTCTTAGACTTATGAGGATCAGCACAGCAGCGAAGAAGAAGGAGACGAGGAAGAGGAAGAGAGCGAGGACGGAGAAGAGGAAGACGACATCACCAGTGCGGAGTCAGACAGCAGTGAGGATGAGGGCGGCGAACAGGAAGACCAGCAGGGTTCGACTAGACAGCAGCAGCTGGAGTGGGACGACTCCACCTACTGATCCTCCTGAGCACACAGTACACACTACTCACGAACACACACACACACAATGACAAATCCACTCACGCACAGTCACATCCCTCTGCCAATAGGGACGCCCATGTTCCCCCTACCTAAGGAGCCATGCGTATAAACGCGGAAAACACTGAAAACTAAACGATTATACAATATATGTACAATATAGATGCGAATATATCCGGTGTCTGTCGTGACAGGTGTTGCAGTCCGCTTCATTTCCACCTGCCGAGGCTTCCCTATCGACATCTTATCGTGGTGGTATTCAGTGTAGTATAGTATCACAGCTATCTCAATACAAGTTCCTAATTTATTGAATCTTTTTCTGTCCTATCCGAGGGAATCCTGGCCTCCGTTTGCATTTTCTTTTCAGCTCTGTACGGACACATCCCTGCACTTTTACTTTCAAGTTGAGCTTCGAGAATGATTTAATGTATATTCCTTGCACATGACGTTTTTGGTTGATTTGCTACAGGAATTTTGAGGAAAATGCTTTCCGATCACTTTATATTGCATGGCAAGATTTGCAATCTTGGGTATGGAAGAAAACAACAGCTTTTTGATATTTTGTAGATAAGACAAAACCATGTAATTAGTCAGTGTGTTAGTGAAAGCCTAACCAATGGTTTCCGGTATTTAAAAAGACACAGCACCTGCTGTAGAATATTTATGTCAGATGCTCTTAGCATGTTTCAGAAACTTTCAGTAAATCTCATGCTCGTACTAAAAGATGTCCGCTTCACAGAGAGAAACCCATGACAGAGGCTGAGGCTTCTGTGGCAAAGTGTTGTTCTTTTTGTCTTTTCTCTTGGAGGTGGGTGTGCATCTTTTTGTTTCGTTCCGTTCTGTTTCGTAGTTTTCGTAGTGCAGTGCTTTGGCTTTACATATGCTAATTCTAGCTGGGCTTGCAATGGCACAAATGCTACACCAAGGCTTCAATGTTTTTAAATTCAGTAACGTTTTGGGGACTAATAATCACATTCGGATGATGAATATACAGTTGTTGTTTTTTTCGCGTGGTACTGTTGTACAGTTTAGGCACACCGCAGTTATTTAAACCATTCTTAAGTGATAGTGCTTGTATTTTCTGTAATAAATGGAGACCAATTGGAATCACAGTACTCAGCACTCTCATAACCCAGTCTGAATAACATTTATGACTGAAACGACATGGAAAACGGGTGCGCTGGTGATTTATCCACAATGTGAGTATTGAAAGGTCTGTTGTGTACTGTTTTGACAGACCTCTTGCTAAAGTACTGGCTTGAGATGGTCAGTTTTATGAACTTTACTGAACAAAATTATGGGGGGGGGGATTTTTATTTCATATATACCTAATTTTATATTTTTAAAGTTTTCTTTTTTTCTTTTCAAATTCAGGGTTAACCCGTGTTATTCTTGTCATTTCAAGGCCCCTTAAAAGCATTACAAGGGCTAATTTGCCTGTCACAGCGCATTAAAAGAAACAAATTTAAACTTTTAAAGCATAAAATATTTTTGCAGTATGGCCGTTGGATTTTTTGTACATGGAACTGTACTGTAGAGTTGTGTAAAGATATTTGTTTACATTTGGTAAACTTTTATTCCTTTTTGGTGACTCTATCAATCTACTCCAGATTTGCAGGTCATTTCTCTTCGTAGTTGCTCTCAGAATCATGTCATTGTTTCGTTTTCTTACTGTGATTGGACATTTCGGGATGCACCCCCTCCGAAAAACATTAACTATTGGGGAAAATAATAATATTCCGTTCCCGTCGGGCTCGAAAAAGAATGTTATTTATTTAGGCGATTGTACGTTGTTTGATTGTTTAGTAAAGACGGACGTGAAGCTTTAGGGTACTTCATTTAGATGTTTTTGTTTACTTGCATGAATATTCTCCATTTAAGGCCTAAGCTGGTGGTGGTATGAATATAATTTTATGTCAGAAAAGGTACAATGCGGGAAGTTGTCGAGAAGGTCTATTTTTGTGACCCATGAAAGGGCGACGGGAGACTTTTCTTGTAGGTTTTCATTTTTGTTACATATTTTGGTCATCAGGTTCCCCCTCAAAATTGACAGGACTTTTAAAAAGAGGTCCAGAAATTCAGCTGGTGGAGTTGGGAGTGCCTTTTGCCTATCACAGCGCATTAATAATAACACAACTAACCAAACACTCATCCATGCCATTTTAGTTGTTGCAATTTTCTCATTTTATAATGATTTAATATTAGATTTCTTACAGGTATTGAATTTTCTGTTCGGGATGATCAGCTAGTTTTATCAAGAGTGGACGTTTTAATTGTCCTGCATACAGTAGACGTCTTGTGTTCATGTTGATGTGTAGAGAAAAATAATAGGTCCATACTGTATCATCAATGAATATTGTACTAAATCATGTTTGAGGAAATCCACTTCGAAAAGATGTACATTATTATAGGCAGCATACGTGGGTATGAGTTTAACAATATGTGTACAGTGAAAGGTGTATCTCCTGATAACGCTGTAGAGGGCAGCATGAAATTCACAAGAAGCAAATACATGATTTCTCACACAAATGTAATAATAGTCTCTCACAGTGTATTCTCAAACCGTTTGATCGATGTAAACCATTCCATGAGACCAAATTTAGTATAATCAATGTTTGTACCGAAAATCGCACAATTGTTTGTATCTTCCCTCCTTTCCCCTGATGCAAATATTCATCTGCAGGTTCTCAAGGGAAAAAAATCATGTGAATTGCATTTCAAACAATGTGATTTTAAGACACTGGCGCAGAAACTTTCCATAATAAATCAGCAGTCTGTGCTGAGTGTGAATGGCTGCAGATGATGGGTGTCTAATGGGGCATTGTCTTTGCATGTATAACACAAGATATAAATATTTCCTGTAACTGGCACATGGTACTGTGGGTTTGGAGTGGAGTAGATAGGACAGGATACTGGCGATACTACTGAATCAAAGATTAGCCATCTCAGATTTACAGCCTTCGGTGGTCATTGTTCATGTTTTCAATTACTTTAATTTTTTTGCTCTACAAATGAAAATTGGGGATGCTGTAGAACTGTTGGATGCTGCCTTCCAGCTCATTCACTTTTCTATTATTCAGAGGAACAATTATAGTGAAGTCGATGCTTGCTCATGAACAAAATAAAGGATGAGATGGGAATAAAGTTGTGTTGGAGTTTCGATTACTTCGCTTGATAATTATATGCAGTTTGTCTATGTTTACCTTTACATTAGCACAATCTTGTTTTTATGAATTAATGTATTTGCATATTATATTTACTGTAATGTGTATGCATGTGATTTTAAAAAATATTTTCATTTTTATATGTACATGTATACACAGCACATAAACACAAAGTATTTAAATGTGTATATGTATATAAATTCAAATAATCAATAGTAGAGTAACAGTTTAAAAGCTGCTACCATCCTTGTTTCTTTAAAGCTTGAAGGAAAAAAATATTTCTATATCCGAAACATTTCAATCATTCTCCTTGATCTTTCGTCATGTATTTCATCTTTAATGAGGCCTCTATATGATGAAGGTGAATTACAGACCACGGTAATGTTGCCAGGACTATAGTGCCACCTAATGCTTGAAAACGGAAAAATATTCATATCTATAAAACGTCTCAGTGGTTCAGAGAAGATATAGAAGCCGGCTAATGTCATACTAAAATGAAAGTGTGGAATTAGGAGGTTTTTTTATAAGATTTATAAACATTTGCATATAAAGATTTTCCAAATATCACAATCCAGTCTGTAATAGAATTGGCAGAGATTAAACCTGTTTTTGATCTTTTTCAACCAAATGCATTGCAAAAAAAAAAAAGTTGTAATGAGAGAAAAGACGAAGCACTGACAACTTTTAAGATGTTGATCACCGAATATATTCAAATACAAAGTATTTACAAATATCACACTGCTTAAAAAAAGTTATGACAAACCAAATTAAAATGCATAGTAATTACAGTCTGTTTCACTATCAAATACTAGTACCAAAAGGCTTATTGGCAACAGCTTGATGATAAGGTTAATAAATTACACTACAACCAGAGGGTTAAAAAAAAAAATCTGGACTTTTTTTGACAATCTTACTTCTCTGTATTCAGAAAATAAGAACTATTCTAAAATGAGCTTTTATAAATGTAAACACTTTTCTTCCACTGTACCCAAATCAAAATATACAATCAAACATAAAATGTATAGGATGTATACAATACTGTCTGATGAATCCAAATGTACATACTTTAGGTTGAGTGGCCACAAGATGTCATCTGACAGTTCTGTTCCTAAATGTACAAATTGCAACCATTGTTTAAAAAAAATTACTGTAAAATGCACGGACAGCATTTAAGTCACACTCACAATAAATGTCAATCCAAGTAAACCTTTATGCCGGGGTCTTCCCAACTCCAGAACTGGCCAATGCCATTATCTTATCTTCAGATCCTAAAAAGTTAAGATACATTTGATTATTGAAGAGGTATTTATTAAGCAAAATACGCTTCAATAGTCATAATTAGCTGCTTCTCATCTTACCAAGGCTCGCAGTCACCTTCTCAAAGTGGCTCAGAGTGGCACTAGCATTTGCAGCAAGAAACGCTTCATCCTCTGTTGTCAGCTGTGCATTCAAACAATTTACAGATATCAGAAATGGTTTAACGTGAGTCTTGAAATAGATGAGAGAGTATTTGTGTCCGTAATAGCCCTCTCACATTCTCGCCAAGTTTTCTCAGAGCCGTGAGGATCTCCATTTTCTGCTGAGTGTACACATCTCGAGGGAGCTTTCCAACCATCACATCCCGGTCCATCTGAATTCATACAGTATCATATGAACATATTTAAGTCTTTGCATATATATTTGCATATTTGAAAATGTTAACATGTGCTTGTCACCTCAGCCAGTCTTGTCCTCAGTTGCCCTGGCTGCTTTTTAGCAAACAGCCGAATGACTTCTGGCGTCTTGAATGCCTGACTGATGGCAGCTTGGATCGCCTGATAAATATTTGCAATCATAAATGATCTCTCAGCATGCATAATTAATTATACCAGTAGACATCAGTCTAGATGTCTTTTTACAGAAAAAAAACTATACCTTTAAATTCTGTACACACACATATACAGTGGGGAAAAAAAGTATTTAGTCAGCCACCAATTGTGCAAGTTCTCCCACTTAAAAAGATGAGAGAGGCCTGTAATTTTCATCATAGGTATACCTCAACTATGAGAGACAAAATGAGAAAAAAAAATCCAGAAAATCACATTGTAGGATTTTTTAAGAATTTATTTGCAAATTATGGTGGAAAATAAGTATTTGGTCAATAACAAAATTTCATCTCAATACTTTGTTATATACCCTTTGTTGGCAATGACAGAGGTCAAACGTTTTCTGTAAGTCTTCACAAGGTTTTCACACACTGTTGCTGGTATTTTGGCCCATTCCTCCATGCAGCTCTCCTCTAGAGCAGTAATGTTTTGGGGCTGTCACTGGGCAACACGGATTTTCAACTCCCTCCAAAGATTTTCTATGGGGTTGAGATCTGGAGACTGGCTAGGCCACTCCAGGACCTTGAAATGCTTCCTACGAAGCCACTCCTTCATTGCCCGGGCGGTGTGTTTGGGATCATTGTCATGCTGAAAGACCCAGCCACGTTTCATCTTCAATGCCCTTGCTGATGGAAGGAGGTTTTCACTCAAAATCTCACGATACATGGCCCCATTCATTCTTTCGTTTACACGGATCAGTCGTCCTGGTCCCTTTGCAGAAAAACAGCCCCAAAGCATGATGTTTCCACCCCCATGCTTCACAGTAGGTATGGTAGTCTTTGGATGCAACTCAGCATTCTTTCTCCTCAAGTTGAGTTTTTACCAAAAAGTTATATTTTGGTTTCATCTGACCATATGACATTCTCACAATCCTCTTCTGGATCATCCAAATGCTCTCTAGAAAACTTCAGACGGGCCTGGACATGTACTGGCTTAAGCAGGGGGACACATCTGGCACTGCAGGATTTGAGTCCCTGGCGGCGCAGTGTGTTACTGATGGTAGCCTTTGTTACTTTGGTCCCAGCTCTCTGCAGGTCATTCACTAGGTCCCCCCATGTGGTTCTGGGATTTTTGCTCACAGTTCTTGTGATAATTTTGACCCCACGGGGTGAGATCTTGCATGGAGCCCCAGATCGAGGGAGATTATCAGTGGTCTTGTATGTCTTCCATTTTCTAATAATTGCTCCCACAGGCACAATTGGTGGCTGACTAAATACTTTTTTGCCCCACTGTATATATGTGACCCTGGACCACAAAACCAGTCATAAGTTGTTGGGATATATTTATAGCAATAGCCAACAATACATTGTACAGGTCAAAATTATCGATTTTTCTTTTATGCCAAAAATCATTAGGATATTAAGTAAAGATCATGTTCCATGAAGATATTTCGTAAATTTCCTACCGTAAATATCAAAACTTAATTTTTGATTAGTAATATGCATTGCTAAGAACTTCATTTGGACAACTTTAAAGGCGATTTTCTCAATATTTAGATTTTTTTGCACCCTCATATTCCAGATTTTCAAATAGTTGTATCTCGGCCAAATATTGTACTATAATACAAACCATACATCAATGCTTATTTATTCAGCTTTCAGATGATGTACAAATCTGAGTTTTAAAAAATAGACCCTTATGACTGGTTTTATTGGTCTAGGGTCACATATGAACTTTAATAAAATAAAATCTAAATTGTTACCAGTTGCATTCCCCCCAGTTCATCAACTAGTGTCATATTCCCAGACATCAACTTCTTTAATGACTCATTGAACTCGCTCAACTGTTCTAGTGTCTCTTTTTTGGTTTCTTCATATTCCTCCTCTTCAAGTTCTTCTCTGCAATAGAATAAATAATCACATTTGTGCATGTAACTGAATGTGTGTTACAGAGAACTGGTGGGATGCCATTACCTGCACTCCTCTAAATCCTGAAGCTGTTGCATTAACCGGTCCAGCTGTTCTTCCATGTTTTGTCTCAGTTTGCTTGTTTCTGATGTCCCTCTAGAAGCCATTCTTTATCTTTTGAAATGAATAACAGACACAAATCACATCTTTTCATACAAAACATGACATTTCCTACTGTTGCTACATATGTGAATGTCACAGCTGATGTGATGCGATATCCACACGGGTATTTGAACTGAACTGATCAGAATTAGTATGCATTGTTGGCTGTATCAAGGTAAATAATGTTATTTAATCTTGGTTAACCATGACAGGTCTGGTATCACATACATGAATACATGAAATAAATCAAATTCATTTGTCACCCTGCTTTACTCTCTCTCACTGCGCAGCTAGCTTAGCTTGCTCTAAAATATATCAACACAAACAAATGTACGAACTGTAGAGTCCTAAACGACGTGGTTTTACGTGAATCAAGTAGTAACTTAACTCTCACCCGTACTTTTACCTCCAAAAACGTCCTACTGATAAAGACAAAATAACAAAAAGATTTAAGTTCCTAAGTCCAGTTGCTAAGGTGTGGTTAGCTAGCGCTATTTATCTTCAATAGAAATCCAATGGCTTTTCTGCGTAGACTCTGCGCAGAGTTGATTATCACGAACACACTCTGAACACGTATGAATTGCGCATTCTAGTGATGGGAAGTTCGGATCATTTTACCGACTCGAACCTTTGAGTCTCGTTCAGCAAAATGAACGAATCGTTCAAGAACGACCCAACACGCCGCACTCGGCATTTGTTCCACAGCACTGGTATTACAAGGCAAAAAAGACGAATATTTTAAGAACTTCACATTTTGTCGGTCTTGCTGTTTGTTTACTATAGAGCAAGATTTCGCTGCATCTGTTGGTTTAATAAAGTCGGTGAAGTTTGACTGAAACACCGCAGTCAGACAAATAGGAAGCACGAGACGAGTTTGTTGAATTGGTAAGAAGTAAACACGTTTAGTCCTGCTTTCATGACATATTATTGCGCATATTTGTGAAATGGCGTTTTATTGTATAGAATATCATTTCGAAACCCGTTTGAATCTTTAAGAATACGTTAGTTGTTTATTACACTGTTTCCTCATGAACTATAGTAGTAATGCTAAATCTTACTAACGTTACCTACACTTTTGAGACATGAAACGAGATTTTAGTTGTGATATCCATTTAATTTATATATATATAAGTTTACATTTAATTACAACAACAATACCTCCAGAAGCAACGCTTTATTATTAATAATAATTTGTATATGTGTGTTATATATAAAATATGTTGTTTATGTATTTTTATCTAGATTACTTTTTTCTGCAGACAGCGTTTTTTATATGATCAATGTCATCACGAGAGAAAACCAAAGTGGTGCTGCTGGCGTGTGGGTCCTTCAACCCCATCACAAACATGCACCTGCGTATGTTCGAACTGGCTCGGGATCACCTTGAAGACACTGGTATGTTTTACATTAATAATGTGTTAAAGGTATCGGCCTAGTTCACCCAAAAATGAAAATGTTGTCGTCATTTACTCACCCCACAAGTTGTTCCAAACCTGTATGAGTATTTCTTCTATTGAACACAAAAGAACAACCAAACAGTTGACCTCCATAGTATAGAAAACAATTCTATTGATGTCTATGGCTACCAGCAACTGTTTGGTTACTAACATTCTTTGCAATATCTTCTTTTGTGTTCAGCAGAAGAAAGAAATTCATTCAAGTTTGGAACAAGTGATGACGACAAAATGTTATTTTTGGGGTGAACTATGCCTTATTGTGTTATCACCAGTGTTGGGGAAAGTTACTTTTAAAAGTAATGCATTATAATATTGCGTTACTCCCTAAAAAAGTAACTAATTACGTTACTTAGTTACTTTTTATGGAAAGTAATGCGTTACGTTACTTTTGCGTTACTTTTAAAATCTGGACAGGGCTTGCTTGTTTGTTTTTAAAATAAAAAAATTATATTTTTGGCAAATATAAAAGCCAAAAATATAACTTGCGTAAGTTACTTTTTTTTTTCAAATGTATCGATTGACAGCTCTCCTGTACCCATGTTGAGAGAAATCAGAAGATGTTACTGCAATAATTAAATGTTAAACAACACAAATATCCTTTATGTATTTATGCCCATTCTATTAAGCAATGTCTTTGCTTCTGGCCTTCGATGATTCAGTTCAACCGTACTAATAAGCACAAATTACTCTAGACAAACATTCGTGTGTCTTTTTTTATTGCTGAAGTGTGTTGAAATGTCTTCTTCTGCATTCCACTGTACCGACGTAAATTTACTTATTTGAAAAAGAAACTCAGATATTCTCTTGTAAATTAAAAAGTAATGCGTTACTTTACTAGTTACTTGAAAAAAGTAATCTGATTACGTAACTCACGTTACTTGTAATGCGTTACCCCCAACACTGGTTATCACTCATCAAATATGCATATTTAACATACATAACTTTTTTGTGGACTTAGGAAGATACAGAGTGGTGAAAGGCATAATCTCTCCAGTTGGAGATAGCTACAAAAAGAAAGGTCTGATTGAAGCCTGTCATCGGTTAGAGATGGCTAGACTAGCCACGCAGAACTCTGATTGGATCACAGTGGATGACTGGGAGAGCCAGCAGACGGAGTGGGTGGAGACAGCCAAAGTAGTTCGGTGGGAACATCTTAAGATCACGTGATTTCAGTGAACGTTTCATTTTGGGTAAAGTGAAAGATAAATCTGACACACCCATTTTGTTTTGCAAGTATTGTGGTGTTTTCTATTTTTGCACGAGTTCCATATCACATCTGATCTTGTGTGGTTGGACGTCATATTTGATGTGCTACTATGTCAAGTTTTATGCCAAATTGACATTTAATCAGATCATTCTGATCTTTACTAGGCACCATGCAGAACTTATTTCCAGCGAGAACAACAATGATGATGTGGATACAGTGAGGTGTGGGAAGAGGAGAAAGCTGGAGCAAAATACAATCATCTGTCAGAGCTCTTCTTATATTAACACAAAAGAAGGTATGATAAAATAATCCTTCATAGGATAAATGTCCCTACTGCTCAGGGCGGTTAAAAGGGTGTTTACCTTAGAATGCCACTCTGTCACAATACCTTACAACAGGCAATTAAATTAACGGCCGTTGTGCCCTCAGGACAGCAGAGAAACAATGTACAGCGAGTTATATTTATGTTTACACAGTTCAGCACAATCTGCATCTCTCAGCACTGTCTGACAGCATTCCTCTGCAAGTGGAACACTTTGAAGCAAATGTATAGGTGTAATAAGTGAGAATTGAAGCAAATAATGAAGCGAAAAAGGAGAAATGCTTTTTGAGAACAGACCAGTGTTTCCTACTGGATTTTGCAGTAAGCACTGATTTTTACAGCAGTAACTGGTCCTAACAGTAATTCATTTCTTTGATGCCTCCGTGTCTCTTGATCCTTCAGAAATCATTCTAATATGCTGATTTGACGTGCAAGAAATATTTCTTAATATCAATGTTGAAAATAGTTGTGCTGTAAAATGTGTGTGGAAAAATATTCTTTGATGAATATAAAGTTCAAAAGGATAGAATTCAGTTGAAATAAAAAATCTTTTGTAATATTATAAATGTTTTTACAGTCACTTTTGATTCAGTGTATTCTTGCTGATTATGTTTTAATTTCGAATAATAATTTAAGTATAAAATCGTAGTGACTTCAAACTTTTAAACGGTAGTGCAACTTTTTTTTTTAAATAAGCTAAAATATAATTAATTTTGCTACGCCATTCTATTATGTTCTACGTACTCTTGTCTTCATGCTTTTAATAACATTTAGTTGCAGTAGAACAGCGTAGCCATACTGTAATTAACATATAGTGTTGGCTTGCCCAAATGGCTTTGAAAAGGAGCAAATTTTTCAAGTCAAGACTCATGACTTTCATAAAAAGATCCATGATCAAAGCAGTCAGTATCACTAATATGATATGTATCATTGTCATAAATCTATATTTTAGACACCCCTCACCTGAACCTCCTGTGTGGTGCTGATGTGCTGGAGTCATTTGGTGTCCCCAACCTTTGGAAGCCAGAGGACATTGAGGAGATAGTGGGCCGCTACGGTGTGGCATGCATCACCAGATGTGGCAGTGACCCTGAGAAGTTTATCAATCAGTCTGATGTGCTATACAAACACCGTAAGAACATCTATATGGTTCGGGAATGGGTGACCAATGAGATCTCAGCCACCCATGTGCGCCGTGCCCTACGCAGAGGACAGAGTGTCCTCTACCTGCTGCCTGACCCTGTGGTGCGCTACATTCAGGAACACAGTCTGTATAGCGCTGAGAGCGAGCAGATGAATGCTGATGCTATCCTTGCCCCTTTTCAGAAATACACCAGCACTAACTAGACTGATGTTCTGCTGCTTTTGAGCTAGTTTCTTGTACTGTTTGTGGTCTTTGGTGGAGGGCTGGTCTGTTACCCACAGAACTTGACTGACACTTGAGTCATAGTTCATTTTGCTTCCTTGAACTCATTTGGTTGTGAGTGATTGCTTTTCATTGTATCATGAATAATATAGGATACATTTAGTAAAATATTATTTGATTTGATTTTAATAAAGGTTGATACATTCATATAATTACTTTTATTGTAGTTCACTGCCAAACATAGAAAATCACTTTTAGAAGAGGAATTTTTATCAATTATTTTTGAGTTTTAAGCTCACTGTTTGCCTCCAATAAATGTTCTTCCATTTGGGTGCTAATAAATGAAAAATCTGGTTACAATCATCCTTTTCTCTTTTGGTAACACTTTATTTTAAGGTGTCCTTGTTACACGTTTCATGTACTTATGATTATAATAACAATGAATTCTGCATAATTACATGCAAGTAACCCTAAACATATAGTAAGTACATGAATTTAATTAATATTACTCAGTACTTAAATGTCCTTTCAAGTAAAGTGTAACCTCTCTTTTTTTTATTATAACACATATCTGTAATATTTCAAACAAAATGCTTATAACAGGTTAAGGGTCATTGTGAAGGTATGATATGCCACATTTGCTCAGTGTCATGTATTTGACAAGTGAGAACATTTGCTCTGTGCATTTAAACATCAGATATTTTTTATCTTTGTGTTTTAGTGCTGACATCAGGAGTTTGACAGTGAAGCTCTTACAAGCTTTTCCATAGTTACAAAACATGACCTGTTAGATCAGTGCTAATATATGAGGCCTTTTGTTTTAGCACACATAGACTAAATAAAAGTGGGAATTCCCAGGAATAACATGATTACCACAGAAACTTCCTTTCTGCCTTCCTGTGAAGGTCACACTTAAACATATCCATTGTCATCTATATTCTCCCTAAGGCATGTCCTCGTGACCTGGTCAAATTTAGAAATACTAAACATGAAAAGGACATTACCCGAGTTTCCCTGACTCACAAAACTCATACGAATGAACGATTTATTTTGCATTCATTGATCAAATGAATGGGTCTTTTACTGATTGTGTCACTTTGGTTGATGACATTTGCATGTAATAAAAACATCAGAGCAGGTGTAGCCTAATGTGCACTTTCAAGTCACATTTAACACATTGTAGTTTTGTTTATTGTGATCCGATTTGATTAATCAGTCATGTGATTTACAAAAGATGTCTTAAGCTTAAACAGATGATCCATGATAGCCTGCATTATAATTATTTGTATTCATTTTATTTCATCCATATAATGCCACTTAATTCAGTTGTAGTTAACACTTATTCATCCTCACATGCTCAAAATAATAAGTTTCGGTCTCTTTACTTTTTCTTTACTCTTGACAGTAATGGAACTTTTTAATTTTTTTTGCTGCTAGGAACCTTTGTTCAAGTTACAAGGAAGAACAGAAAAATGGAAGGCATGCAAACGAAGTTAACGAAAGTAAAATGAGTGTGAATATCTTATAGGATTTTGTAATATACCGCTTATTTTATCAAGCGTTTCATTTTATATGACTTACTTAGCGTCTGAACAGGTGCTATTGTGTTTACGGGTGTGTTTTGCCAAACTATTTCCACATAAACACTTGCCAGACACGTTCTACTTTATGTAAGGTATGACCTTTAAAGAGTTGACGACGTGCAAATTAGAATACGTAGACTACTAAGCACCGCCCACTCAGCAATCAACACATATAAGTGCTGGGAATCCTTCTGTCTGTCATGCCTTGCTCCTTGTTTTCTACTGGAATCATTTGCAGACGGTTAACAAAATGCCTGTAGGCCTCTGTGGTACTTGGGACATGGTGAGCAATGTCAACTTTGAGGGATACATGATTGCTTTAGGTAAGAGTGCGTTCTTTGTCCTGTGAAATTAATAATTGCTCATAATTCTGTTGCTAAAACTGACAAATTGCATGTTTTATTATATTTATTATATTATTCAATTTTTTTATGTATGTCAGCAATAATAGATTCTAAACTCTCTTCTCACAGGGATCAGTCTGTACACCCGCAAGATCGCCCTGAAGCTAAAACATCATAAAGTGATCGAGCAGGTGGGGGATCAATATGTCGTCAAGACTCTCAGCACCTTCAGAAACTACACTTTCTCCTTCAGAGTCAATGAGGAGTTTGTAGAGTTCACCAAGGCGCTGGATGACAGACACTGCAAGGTAGAGTGTTATCATTCTATTGCAACACATAATTTACTGTTATTACTATAGTAAGTAGTACATGTAACAAGGACATGGTCAAATGAAATGTTACATTATTTATTTATTTATTTATTTTCATGACATTCAATAGAACATATTTCATGACAGTCTTACTACACACGAACACTGACAGCCCTTTAGTCTGTTTGAATACAAATATTAGCTGAAAAGATGATCTGGAGAACGCACTTAATGCACTGTTTGAAATTAAACCTAAATCTATTGGTGTAGTCTCTGGTGACATGGGAGGGGAACAAGTTGGTGTGCATTCAAAAGGGCGAGAAGAAGAACAGAGGTTGGGCACACTGGATAGAGGACGACAAACTCCATTTGGCAAGTGTGAAATTAAGCATCTTACACTATAAAAATCTGTAATACACGTTAATGTAATGCACTAATAATCATACCTCTCAACCCCATTATAGGAGTTGCACTGTGAAGATCAAGTCTGCAAGCAGGTTTTCAAACGGGTTGTTTGAGGTCCTGCTGTGGCGCTTGCTGTGAGAAAAGGTGTATTGATGTAAACAAAGTTGTTTACACTTCTAAGTCAGAGGAATATGAGGCAAGAAGAAGAACCATGAGTTTCAACCTCTGCCTCAAAGCCTGACTAATCAATTGCAATCAGTGAGAGGCTTGCAGACTGAGCCTGAGTGTCTAGGAGCATGATGTATATTGCCACTAGAGGGCGCCATAAGACCACGAACAAACAGAACTCAAGTCAACAGCGGTTTACTCACTGGAAACTGCATCTTGTCAATAGTTGTGCCACCATTGCCTAATCATGTTTACATGTAATACAAGAAGCACATTTACAGACATTTAGCAATCTGTAATGTGCTTCTGTATTTCTGCAAGCCAGAATCATTATTTCACCAGAATATGACTAATTAAGGACTGTGCCTCTTTTTGAACACTTAAAAAACATTTTGTAACTGGTTTAGTTTTATTTTTTTGTTTCTTTTTTTATAATCTTGTTAAGATTTACAGTTTTTTGTTTATGTATGTTACAGCTAAATATGCACACTTTATTCATTCAATAACTGGAATTCAACACCTGGTCAATTACTTAAATGTCCCTTGTTGCGCAATAAACTATGATACAGGTTATACTATACTGGGTTGTAATCAGGGATTGAAATGAACCTTTTCACTCACCAGCCAATTTGGCTACTACATTTTTAAGTTACCGGCCATTCATAACTTCTACTAGCCAAAAAAAAAAAAAAAAGAGAGAGAAATACACCAACAGTTTGAGGCCGTCTACACTGGGCGTGACAAAGCGACTGTTGCAAATCATTTTGTCAGTACTAGGGGTGTGAGATATTGACAAAAAATAATATCTCAATATTTTCTGTGATTTATCGATAAAGATAATTAGACGATATTTTGCTGAGTGTGTTATTGTGCTGATATCTTAATGATACCGTGGACAGCTGACTCCTAATGTTTTTGATATTCTTCATATTCTGTGTGGTCAGTTCACAGCAGTGATAGAAATCATTTAAAATAGATTTTTAACTTGTATGGGCACTCTTACCTTATAAAGCCATTTTTTCTAAAAGTGTACATCATCTTTTGAGTCAAATTCTGATACATTTAATCAGTCAATTATAATAATAATACATTTAGGCTGTTACTAAAATTAAATCAGTATCAATCAAATTCATCTTTGCAGAAGTTGCATATGAAGTGGCATTTAGATGTATTTACACATGTTAATGCAGCTTAGAGGGACATGGAATGCTTTAAACTGTAGTTACAAATGCATAAATAATGTTTTGATATTTAAAAAAAACCGAGCCGGACGATTTGGTCAGTCGCACTTTTAAACACATTTCAGTTTTGCTATAGAAAATATACAAATTCATACTCTGAATACATAGAGCAGCAGCAGGAAGCGCGTGAGGTTGTCATGGCAACCAGATACACTGCACGCGAATTATTATTTAATTATTTTGCCACACTAAACTTAGCAATAAACACGTTGAAAATAATACACAATAAACATGTCTGTCAAAACGATCTCAAAGGAGGCTTTTATTAAGCAAATCCACGGTTTTAAAAAAATACTTTAGCTGGGTTTCCACAGGCAGGGTCACAATTATCTACAGCGTATGAAGCTAAAAGTTTTTGGGTTAAGGTTCATAATGTAGAACATTTTTAACATTGTGTGCTGTATGTGCATAGGTAGCTAGCAAACAAGGAATAC